AAAGGGGGGGGGGGGCAGACGAGTTCAGCAGATGAAATACTAATGAAAGACATGTACTATGGATATTGGACACAGCTCCAATGCTGCATTTGGCCTCAGATGCATTTGAAGCTCTTCAGACTATCAATACCTATCACTGCAAACACAGCACCGTTTCACAAATCTGTCATCATGTTCAGACTAATGATACTTTCACATTTGCACAGGCGAATTGAAAAACTTTATTATCAAGAGGCAGGATATCCCAGGTGCTATCTGTTGCGTAGATGTCACTGCCATCAATGAAAGGCGGCCAATCACAGGCACAGTATATTATTTTCCATGAAAACCAACACAATAATTACTGGACGCAGAGCAGCCATATGAGCGTGGACCATTCAAAAGCTATTTAACATAATACTTTCAATGTTGTTGTTTTTTTAATCAAACCCCAACAATGTGATGCCTATGAATTTGAGATATTTTGCTTTAGATGCTGTAGTTGCTCGTCAAAATTACAAATGCGTTAATACAGTTAGGATAAAATCTATTAAATATGGTATAGTAAGATTAAAGATAATCAAATTTCATGCAATGAAATAACAACATAAACATCATCCAAAAATAGAGGCCCAAACAAATGAGGAGAATTTGATGGCACAAAGACAATAGATAAAGTCAGGTTAGGTTCTACAACTTGTTTTCATTTTAAAAGTGATTTCCCAGTTATCAATACTTTCTGATTTGAATGACAGGTGAGTTAAGTAAGAATGTGTATACGCCTCTTCATTCTTTGTATTTAATAGTTTAACGACGAAAGTATAAAATCAGTTGGCCCTGACAGATAGAGATTTTTGTTGTTGACGTCTCCCCGTGATTCAAGTTTAAGCTACAGATTCCATGTTGAGACTCTGAAACTTGGTGCAGATCCTGACAGTATTTTGCGATGCGGGCAGAACCAAAATGAATGCCCAAAACAAGTGTGGCTGAATGAAAATAAGCTAGTATTGTGATATGATAGTACGCCTACTTACAGAGGTTGAGGGAGAGTTGCTGACACTTGGAGAGCGTTGAATAGTCACCAGCGCCATTTCAAGTTTTAGAAATCACTTAGAAGTCACTTTCACCACATTCTCGCACAGAATTACGATCCAGGCCGCGTCAAAGTACACATTTTTACACGAAAAACATCGTTTTCGTAAACAAATGGACCATTATTACCATTGATTGGTGTTGGACGGTACCACTGCCTTCCTAAAATATCGTACACTGACTGCTCGCTCGAGTTTGGTTTCGTTATTCGCACTACGCTGAGCAGACGAAATAACATGAAATAACCTCATCAAAATCATTGCGCCACTAGTCTGTCACCCGTACTTTTAATAGGCAAAATAGCCTTGAATATCTGTAAAATCTGGTTTGTTTTCAACATTTTACGAACATGGCAAAAATATTCACTCCTACAAACCAAATAAGATTGACAAATGTAGCAATCGTACGAATGAAGAAAGGAGGAAAACGTTTTGAAATTGCATGTTACAGAAACAAAGTTGTGTCTTGGAGAAACGATATGTTAGTATTTCAAGCACATATGGGTTGCGAGAATCAATTGTGAAAGTTCTTAAATTTTGTTTCTTTTATTTTAGAGAAAAGGACATTGATGAAGTCTTACAAACGCACTCAGTATTTACAAATGTCTCTAAAGGCCAAGTTGCCAAAAAGGAAGACTTGATCAAAGCGTTTGGCAAAGATGATCCAACGGAAATCTGTAAAGAAATTCTTGCCAAAGGAGAACTCCAAGTGTCGGATAAGGAAAGAAATTCTCAGCTTGAATCCCTGTTTAAGGATATTGCCACCACGGTTGCAGGTGAGATTACACGTATATCAGCGCTTCCACCAATATGATTGTTCATAATCGTGTCAATCCTTTAATGTTGTTATCTAACATTTTTCAGACAAATGTGTCAACCCAGAAACAAAACGGCCTTACCCAGTTTCCATGATTGAGCAGACTATGAAAGATGTACACTTTTCAGTGAAGCCTAACAGAAATGCAAAGCAACAAGTGAGTCATTTTTACATACTTTTATTAGTAACAGGGATGGATCATGATCCTAATTCTCTTGCTCTAGAGTAGGCCCTTCAATTTTCAGACATTAAATTTGTATCAAACATCCTTTAACTTGATTTAATCTTGAAATATTTATTTGTAAGGCCTTGGATGTTATACCCATGCTTAAGGAAGCCATTCCTCTGGAAAGAGCTCAAATGCGACTAAGAGTTGTTGTTGCTGGAAAAGAAGCTCGCAAACTAAGAGACAAGCTTGTGAAATTAACATCAAAAGTGGAATGTGAAGATTGGGAGAGTGGAACTCTAAATTTTGTAAGTATTGCAAAGCGTACCTTTCTGTAATGCAGTTTACTTGAGTTCACTTTCATTAAAAACACTTGCCTCCTCTCAGGTGTGTTTAATAGACCCTGGACATTTTCGAGCTATCGATGAGCTTGTAAGGTCAGAAACTAAAGGGGCTGGGCAACTTGAGCTCTTAAACTTAAAAGAAGTCACAGAAGGGGACGAGCTTTTAGAGTAGAATGTAAGTTAATACATTTTCTTCTTTATTACCGTTTTGTACTGCATTGATTTGGGAAGAAGAATTGACATTTGTCCGTTATATAAACCTCCAAATACAAGACTATTTTAAATTTGGAGCAATATTTTCCACCTGACAGTTATTTGCAATTTCATATTGTGTAAAGGTCAGAGCAAAAGATGATTTCCTATTTAGTCAAATTATTTAATTCAAATGTAAGTTGCATGGTTGACTAGAAGCCAACCAGCAACTCTTCAGATACACATCTTCATGATTCATCATCTATTTGTGAGGGATCTACTGTATTTCTACTATATTTTTATTAACATTCAAAAAATAATTGCAAACACAATTATTTAAAGATAATAATATCACATGGCATGACATTTTGAGAAATAACCCCTCTGATGAAATTGTAATACTGAACCATAATCAATAAATTTATGAGACCATAACCAATATTCTTCAATGAAAAACAAAAACAAAAACATATTTCATTGAATGTTTTCTGCTTTGGTGTTCGACTTACTAAGGCACTACAAAGGAACTTGTTAGTTGGATATTAAATTATCTATCCCTTACTATTCCTTTTACTTGACTAAAGAGAGGCACAATACTTCAGTTGGCAGGAGTAACCTTCACGAGACTTCTTAAGAACTAGACACGTTAGATGTGTTGGGTGTGCTAGGTGATGATTTTGGTGTATAAACAGATTCAATAGCTCCATCTGCTTGTGATGCAACTCGTGAAATGACAAATAAGAAATCTGCCAGCCTGCAAAATCAACAATATAAGAGTGAGATATGAAGTAATGTACAGAATAAGAACAAATATTCCATTAATTGGTCATACCTGTTAAGGTAAGCTAAAACTTCACCATCAAGGTTACCATCACGAACCAATGGTAAAACTTTTCTCTCTGTTCTTCGACAAACTGAAAGAGCTACATGCAACTCTGCAGATACTAGACCTCCACCCTGCAAAAAAGAAAACTTCACAAAATATCCTCATTTGATGGAATTCTTAAGAGGGAAATGCTTTAGTAGATAACTCACAGGTATAACAAAATGCTCAACAGGAGGCAAAGCTTCACTGAATTCTTCAATCCATTCTTCAAGTTCTGAAACATGACGCTTGGAAAAAGTTGTTCCTTTGATGCTTAATGGGGATGGACTGACCATAGGTAAAACTTGAGTAGAATTGTGGGTGTTTGGTGCATTATAGCTGCAATTAGATATAGCTACGCTTATGTCAATGAGGATTGTTTGAATTCGTTTAAGGTATTCTACATAGGAGTGTCCATTCTCATGTGCATGTTCTCGAGCTAATCTAAACAAATATATCAATAGGCACATTATCAGTAAGTAATTTAAAAAATGAGAAAAATTAAATTAAATTCAAGTTATAGACTTACCCTATAAATGAACAAAGTTCATAACATGAACCCATTGCATGGAAAATTTGATCATCTTTGGGTTTCACAGCACCCATTAAAGTCACAGCAAAACCATCATCTCCTATTCTTGGAATACGCTCTTTGTGGCCTTCATGGGGAACAGAAGTGCTTCTTTGCTGTATAGCTGGAGCTTCATTGTTAGTAGTGTTTGGTGGTTTGGAGCTGGAAAATTTTAAATCAATGGTAGAAGTGAACAAAATTAAGGCAAAAAAATGTAATTACACACTACATGCTTTGGAATTATTTTAAAAATGATTAAATTTGTAGAACTTTCTGTAAGTGCAAGCTATATGAAGTTCTTAATGCACATTTTAATGCATGTTTAAGCACTAATAGTGCATATTATCATGTGTTCATCAAGAGTAGAAAACAACTGCGTTGCATTACTGTGCATGAATCCATGCTTACTCAACTATGCACCACTGTGATTATCTATATTATTACTGGAAAATAAAGCAATAACTCTCTGCAAGTAGGCACGAAACGAAATCGTGACCATGTTTCAGATGCACAGATTTCTGCTTAACTCAGGCTCAAAAACCTCCCTACGATTTAAGTGCACTGACTTTGAACAAAGATTAAAGAATATCTGAAAATTATGACGGAATCACACTTAAAAAAAAAAAATTATCGAGGGAGACCATGATTTTAAAGGGTGTATAGCATACGCAATAAGAAAATCCCTTCCAAATCAAAAGCTTTGAGTGGTTGTGAAAGTTTTCTCGTGGGGTTAGGGCATACCCATAACTAGACGATAAAAAATCAAGTCCTCAGTTACCTGTAACGACTACACGCAACGATTTCTGAAACTTGTTTCAGCATAGTCTTTCTTATGATGCGCCGCGCAACATCCATGCCGTGTGTACTATTTAAGCAGGTTTTAGGAACGAAAATAGCTGCTTCACGACGAATTCGTCTGCTTGTGCTTCCTCCTCAGCAGATATTCGCACTCGAAGGGCACATAGGCTATGTTCTGTTATTTGCACTGCAAAGGGCCGGTGTCGAGGAAGGAGCTCGAAAGGGATGGAAAGGACTACCCCCGGCCTAGAAGATCTTCGATCAATTAACACTTCCCTGCTGTTAAAGATGTGGTGGGGAAGGTGTGTAAGTGGTTCAGGTGGTTAAGGTGCACCCACAACAAACGATTCCCGTGGCGACGGTAACAAGTAGCGCCTGCAAGGTGTTGGGTAGGCCAGCCCGCCAAGCAGCTATGTGGAGACGGCGGCCCAGCAGCAGGCTGACCGAGGCTGACCGATCAATTCAGCTGCAAAGGTTTAGGACATCTTTCGCCTACGTTCCTCCGCTGACGCATTACATGCATTGTGCTTGTGCCCTTAAGAATTAATGGTCGATTTCCTGATTCGAAGTCGCCGACCGAGAAGTTTTCGAAACATCCTGACCAACCCTGAATATAATTCCATCCAGCCCCACCATACCTTTTACTCATCCGAAAGGTGCATGCATGCGCCCTAGAAAAGTTGTCCTATGAAGCTCTTTTGTCTCAATTAAAAATAAACTTTCTTGTATAAATAACGTACTTTATTGGGCGCCGAGACGGGTGTATTTATACACGATGAAACTGCGGTTGCGAGTAACTATACAACCCATATGGCTCCGAGGCGAGGGAGCCTGCTTGTGCGCTGTCTCTGCGGACCTCAACCTTTACTCTCGAGCAGAGACGCGCCTCACTATAATAATGGCGTCAAATTATTCTCTCTGTATCCCAGTATAGTTCTGCGAAGGCGATGATTGCATCCTCATCGAGCTCTCAATCCCATGATCATGTGATGAAGATCACCATTACCATGAGAAAGACATGAAATTTCGTGGTACTTGGTTTGTGCTGGTCTGTGCCGGACTCCAACCGAAACAGGGAGTCGCGGGCGGGGGAAGTCCACTAGCCAATAAAGGCATGGCGCCTCCTGCAGCGCTCCATAGTCTGGCGCCGACCGCGACCGAGTGCACCCGCTCCCTGCCTCCGACATGGCCGTGTTCACAGCGCTGATGGTAGCCGCCGGCGTCCTCGGCTCCAGCTCCGCCAACCAGCTACGTGAGTGGGGATACGAGAGCTATGACGACCACGGTCTCGCCTTCTCGAGCTCACCCGAGGGTACGCACCCTGAAAATCTTCGATAGTCTCAGACGATCTCTTCATGAGCGGATCCAAAATCCATGCCTTTTGCCTACTAACAGGGTGAAAGTAGTGCGATTTGCCTAGTTTCAGGCGTGGAAATCCGGCGTTGACTCTGAAAGAGTTGAGCAGTTGAGGAGTAAGTCCCGCTGACCCGGGGGAGGGGGGGGGGGCTCTGGCGGAGCGAGGGGTTTTCACTTGTGTTGTACACTGTACCGCACTCCTAGAATTACGCGTCATGTATAATACCGAGAGATAGGAAAATATGCCCTTAAATGGTAGAATTTGGGTTGGCAAAGCTTGTGTAATACCGGCGTGAAATGGGTAATATGTAATACACTGTACACGAAAGCTCCAAGTAAAAACCCCCTCCTCGCACCGAGGGTTATGCCTGCCTCTCCGGTGGCTTTCTAGGGCGATCGAGCGGGTACTTCGGTACTTCAACTCAAAAATTCGGCGTACTGGGGGAGAAAGTGGCGTCAGTCACTTTCTAGTCCCTTCTACTCATTTTTAGTCACAGCTTGTCACGACGGTCATTCCTACTGGGTGTCCTGGAGAGTACGAGGCAGCTTGATGGGTTGCCTACGCATTGGCGTGCAGGATGCAGGCGCGGAGGGTGAGGGGGGGGGGGGCAGAAGAGGTGGTGGGAGGCGGCCGATTGCCTCCTACTACCTCCACCGTTACCCCTCGACCTTCGCGCCTGCACGCTAGTGCGTAGGCAACCCATCGAGCTGCCGCGTATTCTCCAGGACATCCGGAAGTCTGCTTAGCCACAACATACATACCTAATACCTAATACTCTCATGGCCACAAAAAGTCAGTAGACCTACAAGTCACAATACGTCACACAAAATAATCACAAAACGTCTCTGCCACCTACCTGAGTTAAGGCAGGCCCCCTCGAGCATACCCGTACCGCGCTCTTTTTAGCCTCGGCGTGGGGGACGTGCAGCCGCTCCAGCCCACAGCTCAACCAGTGCCTGCAGG